AGGACTGGCCTAGGGGAAAATTTTTAATGGGGGTTTTAAAGTAATTTTAAATTAATTAGACCAATTATTAATATTTGTTTTTAATTATGTTTTTAATCTGTAGTTTTGGGATTTGCATTTTTATCTGGTTGTTAGCCGCCCTGAGTCCGCAAGGAGAAGGGCGGGATATAAATATAAACAATAATAATAATAATAATAAAAAAGCATGATTGATTCTTGTAAATCGTTGCTAAATCCTATCCGCGCAATTTAAAAATTCACGGAGAAAGATCCGTGCCTAGATCTGAAGAAAACCGCGTGGCAAAATCCCGTTTTATCTTGCTCGGCCATTCCGCCCTGCCTTTCTTTCCATCTTCGCCCGGCTGACTGTACCCACAGAGGAGGGGATGGCAAAAAGGCGTCCAGGATCTGAAAAAGAGCTCCGCGATGCCTCCCCGTGCCCTCTAGTGCCGAAGGGCGCCATCTTTGTCCTTGGCAAAAGAGCGACGGGCTCCGTGGTCCCCAGGTCGTCTTCCTCGCTCTCTCTTCGAAGGCGGCGGACGTTCACCGTCCCCGGGCATCTTATAATACGGAAGCAGAAGGTACCGCGACACCTCTGCGGGCCGCCCCCCTCGGCGTCTTCCCGCCCATACAGAAAGGCCGGACCCGAAACCATCGGTTCCCCCGTAAATCTAACGGGGTGGGCAAAAACTGAAGGATGAGATGATCGTGGCGAAAACCCACCCGACACGTAACCGACACGTAACCAACGACCCGGGTTCGGCATCTGTGCGTTTCTGCAGAGGAAGGCATTGCGGGGGGGGGAGGGGCAACCCGCCGTCCCGTCTTTATTTATATATATATATATATATATTTACACACAAACACGCAGAGAATCAAAACTACGTTCTGGGTTCTCACGGGCGCATGCACCCTTCTAGGTCAGGTTAGCCCAGGGGCAGTCAACCTTGGCTCTTTTATGACTCGCGGACTTCAACTCCCAGAATTCCTGAGCCAGCTAAGCTGGCTCAGGAATTCTGGGAGTTGAAGTCCGCGAGTCATAAAAGAGCCAAGGTTGACTACCCCTGGGTTAGCCAAACGCGTGGCTCGATGAGCCGTGAGAATCCAGCAGAAAAAAAAAAAGGGCAAGCGACAACTCTGCTTCCCCTTCTTGGAGGGCAGCGCCGAGGAGAGACGTGGCAGAATTAAGACGGGGGGGGGGGGAAGGAAAGCCTCCCATCCGGGCCGAGCAGCACCCTCGGTGCAGAGTCTTTTCTCCGT